GGTCGCCGAACTTTGTACATATAGCGCCAATATTGGCGCGTTTTGTGAAGACTACTAGCGACCTAAAAAGCCTTAGAAAGACAGAAAAAGCAAACAAAGCAAAAGCAGACTAAGAGGGCAAGAAGGAAAGATAGGTGTAGTTACGAGGCCCACTTAGTTAAATGAAAGTAGAGCGCGAGCGGGACATTTTGTCTTAAACCGCCCGGGTAGCTAGCAATAGCTAGGAGAAACAGAAGGAAAGGCACCAACACACAAGTGTGTTGAGTGCGATTTCCTTCTGTTGCTCGAAAAGCGGGTGGGGTAGCAACGAGGCCCAGGGGTAGGGGGGGTTGTGTGTGTGCCTATGCATGTAAATGTCCGGCCTGTGAATACTTAGCTGCAAGACGTGGACATGTGGTTACTTAGCCGTATGCAAGAAACCAAAACCCTTAGGAACAGGGGTTGACACACACACACACATACGGAAGCACTGCCAGTCTTGAACACAAGTATCCAAGATTATGACCCTCCCAAGGAGACCCATCAAAAATTCAGGAGTGTCCTAAGGGAGATCAAGTAATTTGTTGTAATTTGGTCCGAGGGACATGTGTTTTTCCCGCAGAGTTGTTTTGGCAGACTTCCAATGACTCATGGACACAGCTTCGCCATTCACAGCTTCGGTGGTCGCAGTGCATGGATTCTCTTTGAGGCTTGGCCCACCATCACCGTATCACCGGCGTTGACTGGCTAAGACCCACGTTCCTCGTATCTACGGTTACCTGGTGTCCTGGTTCCTGGTGAGCCACCAGTGCCGGCCTGGGCGCTCCGCCCAGGCTTCAATGCCCTCCTGGTGGTGGATGCAGCAGCGACGTCTCCAATCAGCTCAAGTTCCTGGAGGTGACCTGGACTGCGACCGGGGCGACCGGTGGATTTTCGGGGGCGAGCTGAATGGACACGAGAGAAACAGTGTGGAGGTGATCTGTGCAATTTGACTGTTCTGAACATGACATGCGTTCGCTCATCAGATGTGCAGACTGCACTGCTGCCTGCCTCCACCGCCAGGCCACGGGGGCCCCAAGCCGCTCCAATTGGGACCCCAGCAGCCGCTGCCGCGCGGCCGCTGCTGCGGAGGCCGCCCTCTCGGGCGGCGGCGTGCGGGTGGACTTCAAGCTTTGGCCCCAACGGGCGCCGCTCGGACCGCGAACAGGGAGGTGAGACCTAGTGAGATGCGAGAAGGCCTGAATGTCATGGTCTTTACATGTCTCTACCGTGTTGACTGAACAAGCGATATCAAGACTACGAAAGGCCAGGTCTCGGAGGAAGACTTGTGCAGTTGGCCAGATTCCTTGGTACACTTGGAGGAAGACGCACATGAAAGTAGAAAACCACCTGATTGTAGAGGAACATTTTCATCTAAGGGCAAGTGTCCAACTCCCGTGAATATTTGAGGGAGTGTAGATCGTTTGGACAGACGGGGGTGGCGCAGATAGATGGTTTGCTGGTGTTTGCCGGTGTAAGTGGTCTTTGACACCAATTAAGGCACACTATACACCAGGAAGTGGAACACCCCCTGTTCGTAGAGGAAAGTAGTCTTCCAAGGGACCATTTTGCACTTCCATGTTAGTGAGTCAGAGTGTATCAGAAACAATCGCAGCATCTCGGCGCGTATTATTGAAGTTTGATGAATTGCTCACGCTCGAATTGCCTTTTCTTCCGCCGATTGTTCTTTTTGCAGCCTTTTCTGCCGCTTTTGGCCACTCAGTGTCCAAGACTTGGCGGATCCGCCGCATCATTGGGCCGTTGGGGATCGTATTTTGGGGACGACGATTCGAGCCAATCTCCCGGTGACAATGGTACAGACAGTCGACATGTAAAGACAAACATTTTAGCACCATTTTCAGCCGATGCTGCTGCTTAGCCACCGTGCACCAAACATTGTTGTGCTTGACATCAAGTGGCAAAAGAAAGCAACTTAATGCACAGGCTGACAGGCAGATGTCAGTTGAAGGGGGTGTATTCCAAGCGCAGCCAAATGGAGTAGTATTCAAGATGTTCGACCTCAAGTCATCGTCAAGTAGAACATAGAATCTTAGAACAATCCAAGCCTAAGCCCCATGCCACCATTTACCCATCACTTCAATCATGCCCCAGCTTCTTCTTTGTTGACACCATCCGCGCTCCATCGCCCCCCGACCTGCGACCGCCCGGTCCAGGCAGCTCACAGCGCCGCTGCGGACGGACTTCCACGTGTGCTACTGCAGCTGGGATCCTCCGACTCCCGGGACGTCCGAGCCGTTTCCAGGAGGAGGAGGTATGGGAGCCCCCCGAGGGAGAGCAAGGTTTTGAAGAAGTCGGGACCGTGGGGGGAAGTGGTTTCGTGGGACTCCGTTCTTCGGTGGGGGCCGTGTTTGTGGCTGAACGCCTGCAACTTGCGCATATGGGCGGTGGAGTGGGCGGTGGATCTTGGTACAACTTTGCTCGCGAAGATGGCAGCAAAGTTTGACTCGAAAGCTCGCTGCTGCTGAGTCACGAGACACCTGAGTCCATGCAGTACCGATCGCTGGTTGGAGCGAGTCTCGGTCCAGGCGATGCTGGCTGTGATGAGACCTGGAATTGGCTACAAGTTGGCGTCCTGCGACCGGTCCGCATGGGGGGGGGCCTGGACACAGGCTCCCTTCAGGTTTGGGACACGAAAGTTTGGACCACCAAAAGTAAAAGCATCTATTTATTCAACTCTGGTCCCTGGCATGTGTTGTCTTTTTTTAACCCTCCCAGCCAGTCCTGACTGAGGACAGGACAGCCGTTAGCGAGCTCCGTTTTTGAACCGTTTTGGTTCCCGGCCGGACCGAACGAGGAAGACGGCCTTGGCCGTGGGACTGTCCTTTGAGAGTGCTTCGGCCCTTCGCTTTGCCCAGAAGCCAGGCGCTCGCCGGGCCACGGGACCGATTGTGGGAGAACGAGCGGCGACCGGCCAGACCGTACAGCTGCTGCTTGAAGGGCTTGAAAAGCGCCTTTGGGCCTTTGGGAGTCCGGATGTTTTTCCGGTGTCTTCCTTTTTCTCGTTCGTGAGTCGTCCGAGGCACTTGGTCAGTGGGCTGGTGGGCTGGTGGTTACTGGCCTTTATCGGGAAGTCGCTGGGAAGGGTGGAATCGTTTGTCTGGGGGAGGCTGAATGGCCCAAGGTTCTTCCAAGAGATGGGAGTGGATCGTCGAGGTTCTCTTGCACGTGGCCCTTGGTTCTCTTGGTTTCCCATCTTGCAAGTGCTTCTCCAGCTTACTAATGATAGGTCGCCTAGATGGGCACTATATATATATATATATCCTAGATAGATGTGGAAGAACATTGTGTCCGGGTCCGCAATGGTTCAGTGACTCTGGCACTCCAGGCACGCTCACGCTCTATGCGGGGATTGGCTCAGGGCCCTATGTCTCAAACCGCTTTCAGGTGGACAGAGAGCAGTGGATGGGGCGGGCCGAGAGATTGCTCGTGGCTTTTGGACGGTTGCAATGCATGCTCGTAACGTGTGCAACTGACCTCACATAGAACCAAATGAACCGGGGGCAATTTGAACCAATTCGACAGAGTTGGGTTCGCCAGGGTGCTGCACTCTTGAAGTTACTGACCTTGGACCAAGTGCAGGCCATTCCATCGCGTGGGGCGAACGTGCGGAGCAGGAGGGGCGGGCTCTTCTGGATCAGAGGCACCGAGGAAGCTAAGTGCATGCCATGCACACATTAATCATTAATCATCAATTATATATATATATTTTTTTTTTAAAATTGAGATCACTCTGAATATGCTCTGACAATGGTGTCAAAACCTATGTACCACCAAAAAGCCGGGTTTCACCACAATTTCAGGGACAATGGAGACCAGTCATCACCAGTCTACTCCTGTCTCCAGCTGGTTGTGCCTGGGAAACCGCGGCTCGGGACATCGGGGCGGTGGTCCTGACAATCGTCTCCTTTTTCAGGCCCTTAGGGGTTTTCTTGGAGTTTTCTCAAACTACTGATTAATATCCTCTTTTCAGGAGACTGCTTTATGAATGGACTGGTCCAGATGGGGAGGCGTTCTATCAGAGGTCTCTAGCGCCACTCTTGCACTTCTCAACGCACCAGGAATGGGTTGGGTATATCTGTCGAATTCTATCGCTGGGGCGGAGGGCCGTGAAGGAGCCGGTGGATCCGGATGTTGGTGCTTCTAGCCTTTGACACCTTCCTTCTCGGTCGCCGGCGCCCCGCCGCCCTCTTGGCCGCTTCCAGCCACGAACCCGACGGGTGAGACGAACGCCCCGAGTGCGGGCGAAGCCACAGCGACCATGGATGAGCGGCTCTTCGATGCCGCGCGGCGGAACCAAGCGGAAGAGGTGGAAGAGGTCATCAAGGCCATGACCGGATGGTGCAGGAGACAGACCTGGCATAACCTGAGTATGGCCTAGTGAGTTGAGGAAGTGCTTGGTTTTCCACCTGCCAGGTGTGGCTAAGGAGCTTTAGACCGGTGGGAGCTTTAGACCGGTGGGCCCCCCCAAACACCACCACCAGGTCCAAGGATTGCCGCTGGTTCCGACGCGGCGGTGCAGGCAAATCCTGAGCTGCTGAGCCTCCAAGACCGCTGGGGCCTTACCGCGCTGCACAGCAGTGCCGTGGCGGGCGGTGCGGAGGTCATCGCCGTGCTGCTGGAGGCGCGGGCGGAGCTGGAGGCACCCAGCCGCAGTGGGCTGCTTGGAGACGAAAGTTTGGGTGGCACTGAAGTGGACATTTAGTGAAACTAAACTGAAACTAATGCAAAAAAATCAAGTGGGGGGATAGGTATAGTTTACACAGTGGGACAGGGAGATGGATGGGTAATGTTTGCCTAAACCTTGGAGATTTGCTCTGCACGTGGATTTGCGCTCTGACTGAAGTCAGGAGTTTCTTTGGGTTTCCTTCGCTGATCGGATGGTAGGTGTTTGGAGTTGCTGATAGGTATAATATGGTAATATGGTATATACATAATACACCCTTCCACGCCGACTTGCAATCCGTTCTGCCCCCAAAAACCGCCCTTCCACTTGCGAGGTACTGGAGGCCCATCCCCATCCCAAAAAATTTGAATGGGTAGGTGGAGTCTAGTTAGGATAGTGCTCTTCTATTATGGTGAACTAGTTGCACGCGCCTTGTGCACGCTGGCGGCCTTGCTTGATGGCTCCCAACAGGGTCTCACCTGTGACCTGTGACCTGTAGCTGAAGAGATGTGATACACTGGCTCACTAACCTAGATGTGGAAAACCATCTGTTTGTAGAGGATATGGTTTTCGCAGTGGCCATGTTCCACTTCCATGTTAGTGAGTCAGGGTATAAGAATGCATAACATATGGCCCACTGACCGCCTTTCAGCCTCATTTTTGAATCCCCATGGTGGACTTGGATGGTTTCAGTGGGCAGGGTGCCCTGGCTGTTTTCCACACATATAAAAATAGATGTAACTCATATCATATATCATACACATATAAATTATATAACTATATATATACATACACAGATACATACATTATTACAGTATATCTATATATCTATATATATACACCTACACACATGCACATAACACAGACATTTTACTATTGTTATATATATATATATATTTGCAATATGTGTCTATAGTGCTTGCTATGGCGGCATCATGCCATGTCATGCCCATGAGTCGGCCATGTCAGACCTCACCCCGAGGCAAACGGCGCTGCACTTCGCCGCGCGCGAGGGCCGCGATGCGGCCGTGGCCGAGCTCATCCGGCGGCATGCGGACGTGTCGCGGCGCAGCGCCCACGGGATTTTGCCCCTGGAGCTGGCGGCAGGGCACCCGAACACGCAGCAGCTTGGGTTGAGAAGTTTTGGGTTGAGGAACCCTTGTTTTTGAAATATAGCTTGGGGCCTTTTATGGACATATAATTATATATATATATATATATGAACAGTCAGATGCGATTCGGTTATCCTCGGGGCTGTCCAACTGAAAGAGAATTTCAATGCAAAGGGCGGACACATCGACGGTTCGTGGGTGTAGGAAGTCCCCACGTGCAGTGTGTTCACAGAGTTCGTTCATCCGACCGAATGGTGATCGGATTGTGGAGACCCATTTTCTCCGGGTCATGGTGATTGACATGACCCCTATTGGAGACCTCGACAAATAGTCGGTGTTGATGGTGACCCCTATTGGTCACCATGGACCGATGGCCCCTCCGGACTGCGGACTGTGTTGCAGGCCATTGGTGACCGGTTCAGGCGGTGACCGGCCAAGCTGAGGCAGTTAATTCGAGAAGAGGCAAACCGCCGTATCAAGGCCTGGAAGCCTGCTTTTGAAACGCCGACCTATCGACTAGGGCCATCAGGAGCTTCATAGATGGTCTGAGTCTGAAGTGAACCTTCATCTAGTTTCAGATTTGCAACAGGGTGGCGTAGAGAAGGTCGCCCTCCATCAGAGTGCACATGTCCAACATCTTGCTCCAGAAAAGTTGGGGTGACGACCTGGGGTCCTCCCCCTGGCTTTGTAAGCTGCCGGTGTTTTGGGGCATTGGTTTCGTTCTGGGTGGGCCCATTCCTGGAGACACCAGAACGAAGCGATGGCTGCCGTTATGCTGGGTTTTTTGGTACCAAGCCACCCCGTCGGCGAGGTGGCCGAGCAAGACATTGAGATGCTCCAGGAGCGTTTGCAAAGGGCTGTCGAGGCGAAGGAGCTCTTGGAGGCGTTGGGGGCGAAGGGCGAAGGGCTGACGAGCCGAGCATCCAAGGGAGAGACGGAGGGAGACGAAGACATTGAGGATGTCTGACATGATTCTGGAGGGCATCATCGGTTGCAAACCAGTGGGGTCCAAGGAATAAGAAAGGATATCACTTTAAAAAAAGAAACATAATTGGCCAGAAAGACCCGTATTCTACACCCATCGACTTGAGTTACTTGTTGGCTTCGACACGGGGGGTGAGGATGGGGCAACCTGACCCTTGGGGTGTGCCAGGGGTGCTTGCCCTCTGGCATCTCTTTGACTTACGTTTGTTCTAGTGATTCTAGTGATCTTTTGAAAGGCGGGGGTCGTGTTTTGGTAGATGGATTGGTTGGAAGCACACACCAAGGTTGATTCATGAGAATCATTGAGACATATTGATGCCTCTTTTTGCCGCCAAGAGATGTTTTTTGTTATTTTTCTTTCTTCTTAGGGCTCAGTGGATTTCATTTTTCTGAGTGCGGGGGATCTTCACTCGTATCATGTTGTATCCTAGGCCGTAGTCTGTGACACGCCCTCCCCCAACCTTCCACCCCACACCAAGTCTACCAAGCAGGGCAGACTTGGGCCGAGATGCTCGGCTATAGGCTATTCGTTGTCAATTAATTAAGCAGCCCAGGACCATGTGAGGCCAGTTGTTTCAGGCTGAGACCAGAGTGACTCACCCACTCCGAGAGTTTGCTACTAGCTTCCCACGGTGAGTTTTGGCACCCAGAAATTTGTCCGTGGCTTCTGGGCATCCCTGTTGTTGTTGTCGTTGTTACTTCTGTCGAAGGGTCCAGGTATAGACATCCCGGTGGTTTCGCGGATAGTCCTTTATGCATCCCTCTTCTGTATGGAAGAACTCCTCTTCTGAGGAGGGTTGTGTTTCCTCCCAGGTTCCTGGTCAGCAATCCAAGTCCCGGTTTCTTCGTCACTTCTCTGGCAGTTTTGACGTTTAGGCGCAGCTGACGGAACCACCCGCTAGCCACCACAGCACCATGCTGAGTGCCTTGATTTGATGATGTGCCTTTCTGAACTACGAATCAAGGGACAATAATGAGACATCAACCAGTCGTGTATACCTATTACCCAAGCCTCCACCAATCATCATGAAGCGAGAGACGGGGAATTATTTGTGATTGATGCATGATGTCGGGGACGTTTGACGTCATGGACGTAAATCAGTTTTCCCCCTTTGGGTCAAGGATGGTTATAGGGAATCTTATTCCTACAATTCTCACCCCACACCAGCACCAGAGCCAAATAGAGAATGGCCCAACGCCTGGAAGAAGATGTTTCTCTCCCCACTTCAGCACCACGCACCTCCGATTTTCCGCCTCGGCGCCTCTTCTCCGAGGTGATGCCGAGATCCTGGCGCCCATCACCGCCCTGCAGCAAGCCACCCGCGACCTGGCCCGATCCGCCGCCCTGGCGGACGACGCCTCGCAGGACTACTGGCGCCGGGCCGCTGCGTGGCTCGGGGTGCAGCGGCACCGCGGCTGGGCGGCGCTCTACGGGAGCTACATGCGCGACCCGGTCAACGGTGCGGGCGCGGCTGGCGCGTGCATGGAGCCGGCCAATGCGCCGCCGTTGCCAGTCTTTGATCCGGAGAGAGTTGGGGTGGTGGGATGAAGGCTGGTATATATTGGATATATTGGAAGAAAGAGGAAGAAGCAGAAAGAAAAGGAAGAAGAAGAAGAAGAAGAAGAAGAAGAAGAAGAAAAAGAAGAAGAAAAAGAAGAAAAAGAAGAAGAAAGTGGCCTCCAAAGCCAGTTGGCGCTCTAGCGATTCTTTGGCTCTTGGTTATATTGGTTATGTTGTGGCCGTGCTGTAGTATTAAGGTCTGTCTGTGGCCGTGCTGTAGTATTAAGGTCTGTCTGTCAGTGCCCATGTTGTGTAGGTT